TGCACCTTCCTTGGTCCAGCGCACCCTCCTTCTCCCCACTTGACTGACTCTTACTCATTCTTGAAGACTCAGCTCAGGTATCACCTCCTCCAGAAGCCCTTCCTGCCTCCCCCAACACATAGCCCCCTCCTTATCGCATCACGCTCTAATCGCCGGTTTCCTTGTCAGTCTCTCCCAGGAGCCTGCTCCCACCCGGGCGTACACCCAGCTCGGCACACAGTAGGGGTTCAGTAACCCCTCGTGGATGCCTGTACGAATGAATGAATCACAGGGCCCAGAGCGTGCCGGGAGTTGAACAAGGCCGTGGGCCAACCATTCATTCCCTCATTCATCTCGGAGACCCTGGCCGCCGCCCTCACAGGCTCCCAGACGCGCGTGGAAACTGGCGCTGCAGGGTCGGGGGCGGGGGAGTGGGGGGGCGGAGTACAGGAAGGGGCGGGGCGCGGCCGGCCTCTCCGGAACCCAGAGGCAGAGCCCGGCTGTTGGAGGGGCCCTAAGGGCGCACAGGGTGCCTGGGTCCTGCGACCCCAGCCGCCCCTCCCCGCCCTCACGTTACCCGCAAGTAATCTTAAGTCTCCACGCGGCCGAGTTCTGGGACCCCGTATAGGGCGGGCCGGGGCAGACCCTCGGCCCCGGCGATCTCCGGACCGGCGACCCCCGCCGCCCGCACCGCAGCTCCGGGCCTGGCTTGGCGCCCGGCCGCCTGCCCTCTTCCCCTTCCCGCCCGCCAGCGGAGCCCTCCCGGGACCACGCGGCTGCTGCCCGCCCCGCGCCCGCGCCCCGCGTTACCCACCGGCTCGGCTCTTCGGGTGCGCAGGCGGGGGCCAGGCTGGGCGGCGTGGCCGGCTCCGGAGTCCGCGGCCCCGGCACGCTCTCCCCGCCCAGGGCCCGCCCGGGGCCGGGCCGCTGCCTGTCGTCATCCCCGGCAGGGCCCAGGCCCCCGCGCGCGCGCGCGCGCGAACCCTTCGGCCCCGCCCCGCCCTGGCCAGCCCTGGCCCCGGCCCCCGCCCGAGTCTGCGGACGCTTGGTGCCGCACACTGTGCAACCGGCTCCCGGGACCGGGCGCGTCACAGTCACAGTCTCACACACACACACACACACACACACTCCCTCCCTCCCTCCTCCACACCCGGCGCGCTCGCTGCAGTGCTGGGTGGAAGGGTGCATCTCCTCATTCTAGGAAAGCATCCTCAGAGCAAACCCGACACTGTCCTCCCACCCCCAACTCGCCCCATTTTTGCCAGGCCAGGTCAGTTTCTCCCCATTTGTGGCTTTCACACACGCACACACCCCGTTCCCTGCTCAAGGTACTGCTCTGAGCTGGCCAGTCCTAGTTCTTTGGGCCGGAAGAAAGGGGAGGCATGCACTGAACGTGTACTGTGCGTCTGCAGCGTTACATACACCGCCAGTCCTTTGGCCTCAGAGCAGTCCTGTCACCTGCGTGTTATGCCCAGTTCATAGCCCAGCCTACCGAGGACCAGGGAGCTGGAAGAGAAGGGATTCAAACCCAGATCTCTGCTTTGAAAAATCCTGCTCTTAAGAGGTGCTTTAAACTTTTACCCCATCCTTCCATTTATCCCTTCTTGTCCAGTCTGTTCCCGTCCCCCCAAAGGTCAGAACCCCTCCCTTCTGCTCACCTCTTTCCTGAGGGGTTTGCTTGAGGGAGCTGCTGGGCCCTGGGAAGATATTGCCACCCTTTCTCCCAGCCCAGAGCATCCCCGCTTACAAGCTTGCAGGGCCTGTGGGGATGAACCACGCGGATGATCTCCCCAGTGGGTATCAGCTCCACTTGCAGCGCCATTCCGCCAACAGAGAGCCCGGGTGCTTGCTGAGCAACAGCCTGCCTGTCCACTGGCTCAGGCTGCTCCCAGAGCCAGGAATCTGGTCCCACACTGGGATGGCCACTTGGTTCAGCTTCAACTCCAGCCCCAGGGGATGTGTCTGGTCCAGCTCCTCAGGACACAGCTGGAGCAGCCCAGGTCTGATTGGGAGGCCTCTTGGCCCAGCGGGTTGGGGCAGGAAGAGGAGGGGCTGAGGGACGGAGGAAATGCCTGTTGTCCCAGGTAACCAGAGAGGCTGATGCAGCCACTCGTGGGGGACCCTGGCCTCCAGGTCAAAGGGTAGGAGGTCTTTCTCCCCAACAGCTCCATGGCCAGGCCTCTGCTGCTGTCCACTCACTGGTGTCAGCTAGAGAGCTGTGTTCCCCAAACCAGAACGCACATCCTGCCCTAAGCCAACAAGATCTGTCAATAGGTGCTGCCCCTCCAGCATGTCTCCCCAGCTTGCCTCCTTCCCCAACAGTGGCAGGTGAGCCCCTTGAGTTTGGGAGGCCAGAGCTGCTGGGGGCTGGCCACGTTGAGCAGAGTTTAGCTGGCGAGGCAGGAAGGCACTGTGAGGAGGCCCCTGTCCTGCCCTCCTCAGGGGCATCTAATGCTTGGGAGGACTGGACTCCCTGGCTCTGGGCGGCCTTAGCCCTGTTGGCTTCTTACTTTTCCATAGTACCCTCAGGTGCCCCTCACCCCCAATGTCCTGTTTTCTATCTTTATTGTTGCTAAATCACTGCTGACACTTCCCTGGCCTGGGACTGAGCCCTCAGGTCTTCAGCCATTCCTTATAGGAAGTAAGAAGGAGATGGGGAAAAGTGACCTTTCCAGAGGGAGACACTGGCACAGGAGGGGTAGAGTCCAGGGGACCGGTGCTGGCCCCGACAGCCCCCTGGACAAGCACCTTCCCCTGGGGCACACTTTCCTTCCCTCCCCATGGCATCCCCCGCCCAGGAAAGGCCAGCAAAGCTTCCTTCCTTCCTCTGAGAAGCACATTTATCTAGGGCAGGCTCATCCCCGGCGGCCACACAATGGCCCTTATCAGCTGTGGAGCCAGGCACAGAGACCCAGTGCACACCAAGTCTCACACATTTCCTGTTTCCACCCAGCGGGTCAGGGCTGGGCCCAGAGCAGCCATATCCTGACTGGGGCCAAGAGGAGGCAGAACACTCCCCCTTCCCCTTCCCGGCCTCTCAATCACTGCTGGAGTCGCCCCTCCCAGGCCGAGGCGGGCCCCAACAGGAGGCACGGGTAGGGGTGTATGAAGACTTAAGGGGGAAGGGGAGAGGTGGGCACGTGGACAAGCATGCTCCACAAGCAGAAGGTGGTGGTGGGGTGTCCCCTGAGATCCAGCCCCAGGGCTACATGGATCAGAGTAAGGAGATAGGTATGCTATTGCTTTGGGTGTTTTTCCAACTGTTCTCTCACAATGATCTTGTGAATGCATACATTATTTGTATTTTACAGACAACCAAGATTCCTATGTGGGTAGAGGTGTAACTCGGATTCAAATCCAGGTCTTGACCTCATTCCTGTGTTTCTGGCTCTGCATGATACCACGGCTGCCTGTGTAACTTTGGATGGATCACGCCACTCCTCTGAGCCTTGGTTTCCCTGGCTGCCAAATGACAGGTGCGGTGTGGCAGCACCCAAGAGGCTTGTGCAGGTGAGAAGGCCAGAGGTGGGCAAGTGCGAGTGGTCAGGGGTCCTCAGGTGTGAGTGTGTTGGGGCAGGGACAGAGATTACCATGGAGACATTGGGGCAGGAGGCTCAGGGGAAAAAAGATGACTTTTTGGGATAGCTTGACCTGGGACCAAGGCTCAAGACTAAGATGAGGGAATGTGGGTGAGGAGAGATGAACCAGTGAATGCAGTGCACCTTTTCTGAGAGTCCTCAGGTCCCAGAAACCCATTCTACTTCGCAGCAAGGGAAACAAAGTGCCTAATAGCATAGATGGCTCACTCCAACTGTGCCAGGGACCCAGGGGCCACCACCCTGGGACCTCATCCCATTCTCATCCGGGCACCATCTGCCACTCTCGGACACAGCAAGTCTACTATAGATCTACAGGGCCCTCATCCTAGAGTCTAGCAAGGGCACGAAGTCATGCCACCACCACCAGCACCGCCCCCCCATCATGGAGCCACACACAAGTGTAAAAGCCATGTTTCTAATTATTCCCCCCCCCCATACAACAGACATAGAACACAGCCATGGGCCACTAGAAGCCAGGGGGGCAGTTCTTGATGGTACACACGGCTCCCAGGGTGGAGTATGGATCACAGAGTGACTGGAGTGTCCCTCAGTCTCAGGTCATAGGATGGGCGTGACAATCACAGAGCAGGTTCCCTGAGGTGTCTTCTCCTGGGAGAAGGGCCGTTGAATCACCAGTGGCTGGAGGCAAGTGGCGGGAGTGGGACTGAGTGCCCACACAGCACCTAGAGAATGTTCTCTGAAGACCCTCAAGGCGAGATTCTCCAGAATGTCTAGATTCTGGCTCTCTTCTCTGCCTGCCTCCACTTCTAGGTGCTAGGGCAGTCTAGAGAGAGGGCAGGTTTCTGGCCAGTGACTGTAGGCAAGGGTAGGAGCAGATGAGCTTGACTGGGCAAGAAACACCCTGGAAAAGTCTGTGGCCACAGTTCCTCTACCACCGGCCAACCCTTCACAAGAGGGCAGGTTAGGGCATGGAGCCTGACCCACCAGCCCTGGAACTTCCTGGGTCAGACTCCATGGGGGCAGGGGTGCTGGCAGGACACTCATCATCCTGCCCACAGGACCTACACAAGAGCCTGGGTAGAGGGACCCCTCCATCCTGCCCACTTAGTCTAATTGCTTTTGCTACAAGCAGGGATCCCAAACCTTCTGCCCATCCCCCAGGGGGACAGGCAACGAGATGCCAAGACTCCTGGAACCCAGGGCTGCTTGTGCCAACCAGCCTATGGGGCCTGTGCAGATGCAAGCTTCTCCCCCCTCCCAGGCAGCCTGAGGCCCAGGATGGCGTGACAAGAATGCAGGCCTGTGCCAGATGGGGCATGTGCCTGGCAGGCCTGCTTGGGCGGGACTGGGAGTGTGTGTGGGGAAAATCAAGAAACAAGATACAAGCTGGAGGGTCCTTCCCACATCCAGTGGACTGTCCCAGGTCTTCACTGTTGACAAACTAGCTGGTTTCACTCATATCTCAGCAACAAAAACCTGTATTTAAGTGGCCAATTCTAGAGATCTGGACCGGAGAGAGCAAAGGAGTGTGGCTAGAGCTCTCCTGGGAGACGGAGGATACCTGCTGCCTCCTCTGGGGGCTGGGCTGGGCCCCCAGCACTGCGGGCGGTGTGGGCAGACCATCTCTGGCCTCCACCCTGGATCCACTCTCATCCGGGCTCAGATGTGTGGCTGGGCTTCCCCCAGTGGGTCCTCTGCCAAGGAGCCAGGCTGGATCTGCAAGGATAAAACAGGCGGTGAGTAGAAGGCGGGAGGGGGGAGCAGATTTTCCTTTGTGCCTTTCCATCACTCCCCTTCTCCAATGCATGCGGCTCCAGGGCCCAAGTGGGTTCCTAGGCCTGTGGCATTGGAGAACTGAGGAGGGGCTCAAGTCCCCTTCCCCCACCAGCATACCTTGAAGGGTTTGCTTATCCCCACCACAGAATGTAGACTGTTGCTATAGTAACAGAGGAGAAACTGGTCCTCAGTCTCAGGGATATTGCTGGTATTGAAGTATACCTGGTGGGAGGATGGAGAGGAATGGGGTCAGCTCCCCGGCCTGAGCCCCACCCAGCTCTCAGCAACAAGTTATCCCACCCTCTGTTCCTTCCAAAAGACAGAGCAGTGCTCAGGCAAGCCCACACGTGGGAGACACGGAATACCCATCTCAGGGAAGCGGGCAGGTACCTGGCTCAGCCCATCGCTGAAGGAGACCTGGTTGTCCCTGACCCAGACATAGGACACGTAGTCATTAATGTGGCGCAGGCCCACCTGTGGGAGAGGGGATTGGGCAGTCGGTGGTCTGGGAGGACACAGCACCTATGACAAGTCCCAAGGAGATGCCTCAGGCTGGCCATTGTACTGTATGCACCCTCCCCTTCACCGCCAGCCTCTAGGGGGGCAAGGACCCCCGTGGGATGAGCACGAACTCTTCAGTCTCTGCACCCAACTCCCGTGAGCCCCCAGGATGGATAAACCAGAGGGGTATGGCGGACGGACGCCACGTCTTGCCTGCCACATCACCTTGTATAGTCCAATCCAGTCCCAGGGGCTGCTGAGAAAGTCTGGGGTCAAGGAGTAGCTGACCAACATGTCGTTCTCCATGGTCCACAGCCCCTCAGGTATCAGGGTGATCAGTGGGGCAGACGCCAATGGCTTCAGCTACATAGGGGTGGGGAAGAGGGTGAAATCCCATAGCACCATTCCTTTCTCTGAGGCTCATGTTCTTGCTGTGAACTTCCCAACACATCAGCGTCAGTGAGGGGGAAGAAGGGCACACAAGGGGGTGGGCACAGAACTTCACTAGGCTGCCCCAAGGGAGTATCAGACCTTGGCTGACCCGCTGGAAGGAGAAAGGGCCAAAGGCTTGTGAGGGGTGGCTGGCCGTGCCAGGGAGGATGGGGCTGGGGGCCCGGTAGGTAACCAAGCAGACAGCCAAGTGCTGAGGGGAGAGGGTGGGGGAGAATGGGGGAGTTGCTGACAGGTTTAAGAAAGAAGCCAGGTAGGGGCTTTCAGGCCTCTGGGGTTCCTGACCCACAGTAGTGGTGTAGCCGTGGAAAGAACGGCGGTAGGCATGTGGAGACACACGACAGTATAAAGACAGACAAACCAGCCATGAAAAAGTGAAAGCTGAGCGCAGCCAGCAGGTCTCAGAGGACATCAACATTGCCTTGGTCATTGGATGGCAAGATGCAAGGATGGAGGGAGCTCCCTTTGCAACCTGATCCAGGCAGATTTAGGACAAACAGAAGGAAGTCCTACTTTACATGGTGGGTAATAAGCATAATGGAACCCATTAGCCCCAAGGGACAGTACCAAGAGGAAGTGGAAACCTACTTACAAGGGGTCTGAACACATTTTTGACGGAGCCCTCAACAGCTTCTAAGAGCTGGGATACCTGACCTGGGAGGAGTGGCAATCGTGTCCCCCTACAGGTCTCCCCTGGGAGATGTGCTGACATTAGAATCCCGGGCTGGGGGGTTTGGGAGGCGGCCCAGCGGGTGCTCTGTCGAGTGCCAGGCAGCCTGGAAATTCACCTCCACGTCAAAGGTGCTGGTGACCGGCTTATGGTCACTGATGCAGTACATCATGTGGCTGACATAGCTCCTCAGAGACAGGCAGAAGTGGGGGGCTGGCAGCCTCTGGGTGGGGGGGTTGGCCTGGGGCTGCCGCTTCAACCTCCACAGGATGCGGTCGGTCCATGCAGGCTTGCGTTTTTTCTCACTGGGGGTGGAGAGGAAAACTAATGTGGAGAGAAGGGCTAGCAGGAGAGCAAGACGGTACCCCCAGCAAGCCTGCTGGAGCCCCTAACACCAGGGCCTCTCAGTGGCCAAGAGACCCCTGGGCCCCAGTGGAAGTGTGGCATGGCAGCAGGGAGGAGGGGACCCGAGAGAATCAGAAGCATACTGGCCTTTGTCAGACTCAGCCAAGGACCTCCAGTCTAGGCTACGTTTTTAATGAATCAAATTGTGATTCGGAAACATTCCACTTCAAAGCTTTTCTGACTTCTAGACCGAAAGCAGCAGTAGACCAAAGAAGCTGAGGTCTGGATTTTAGAGTTAGAGGTAAGCTGGAATTGGGTTTCCCTCTCACTAACGGTGCAACCTCGGGAAAGGGAAGCACTTGGGGAGGCTCACTGTGTGCCTGCCATCAGTACCGCCGGCCCCCCTCTCTCAAAGGCGGAGAAATCGAGACTCTGCGAACTTTCCCGAAATCACACAGCTACTGAGTGGTGGAGTCAGGATTCAAGGCCAGGCAGCATGACCACAGAGCACAAGCTCTTCATGACCAGGCCACCCGCTCCTCGACCTCAGCTTCCTCATCTGTAAAATGAAGGTAACAATAGTTACCTCACAGGGTTGCTGACATGATTGAATGAGGGAAAGCACACAAAATTACTTAGCACAGTGCCTGGCACAAATCAAGCTCCCTGTAATCACTGGCTATTGTGACTCTTTGTTCTCAAGAGTCAACTGAGACACCTCTGGCCTGTTCTTTGCTTACTAGCTTCGCTGAGGAGCCCGAGAGGCTGTACACCCCTGGAGACAGAAGTGCTTTCCTCCCCTAGGAAACTGTGGTTGCCCAAGACAGGCAAGCCTCTGACTCCTAACACAGCCATGCCCAGGCAGCTACAGGGGTATTCTCTAAGACCAGGCCGTGCCCTCCAATGGGGGGCCTCGAGTCCTGCAATGGGGGTGGGGGCAGCTGCTGTTCTGGGTTCCTCCCCCTTGATTTTAAATGAACCCAGAGTAGTAAAGCCTAGTCAGATGGTTCCCTACTTTAAAACCTTCCAGGAGTCTTCACTGCCTCCAGAATAAAGCTCAGGTCCCCAAGCACAGCTTTTAAGGAGCCTGACCCCCTCGTTCTACACCGTCTCCCACCACTGTCCCACACCCGCCCACCACAGTGACTCTCCAGCCTCTGGACCTTTACTCGTGCAGTTTGTGCTGCCCGGAACACCCTTCTTCACAGTTCCAATGCTGTCTTTGTCCAAAAGCCGTCTTTGAGCTCTACTTTCCGCTTCCAAAGCATTCTGCACCAGTGCTTCCCCTATTATGTTATCCGGTGCTGTCGTTTTCTGTTTCCCAGTCGGCATACTGGTTCATGTGTGAGCGTGGGAGGCAAGGACTGGCTCTTGAGATCTCCTGCGTAGCCTGGCACGTAGTACGCACAACTGCTTGTGGAACCCAAACTCACTAAAACCCCAAACTCAATCTCTCTCCTCAAAAATGCCCATCTAATCCTAACGTATACAGTTTCAGATGCTGATAACCAGTTTGCAATGCTATTTTTTGTCTTGTTTTTTCCACTAATTTTTTTTAAAGATTTTATTTATTTATTTGACAGAGAGAGCGAACACAAGCAGGGGGAGCGGCAGAGGGAGAGGGAGAAGCAGGCTCCCCGCTGAGCATGGAGGCCGATGCAGGAGCAAGGCACCCCTCACTTACTATTTGTTTTCTTAAGATTTTTAAATTTATTTTATTTATTTGAGAGAGAGAGAGAGAGCACACAAGCAGGGGGAGCGGCAGAGGGAGAGGGAGAAGCAGGCTCCCCGCTGAGCATGGAGGCCGATGCAGGAGCCAGGCACCCCTCACTTACTATTTGTTTTCTTAAGATTTTTAAATTTATTTTATTTATTTGAGAGAGAGAGAGAGAGCGCACAAGCAGGGGAGAGGGAGAAGCAGGCTCCCTGCCAAGCAGGGAGCCTGACTCGGGGCTCGATCCCAGGACCCCGGGATCAAGACCTGAGCCAAAGGCAGATGCTTGACGGACTAAGCCACCCCGGCGCCCCCATTTACTATTTTAAATAAACATTTCCGACATACTGTTGTCAATTCAACAGCAATACAGTCTTCTAGCAACAGAGAGGCAGAATGATGTCTCGCTGGTAAAGTCCGACTCCACAATCAGACACCAGAATCTGGGGGGAGGTTCTGCCTTGTTAATTAAGAGCTATGTGGTTCTGCTTGGTGAACACGTGACTTGGAGTGGCAGGCTCAGAGGGCATGGAAGCTCCTCGCCCTCTCCCCACACCTTGCCCTAGGCCTCTTTTCCATCTGCTGGTTCCTGAATTTTATCATTTTATAATTAACTGGTAATCTAGTTTAAAAAAGAGAGAGAGAGAAAGCTATGTGCCCATGGGCAAGTGGCTTCACTTCTCCCAGCCTCAGCTTCTTCAGCTCTAAGATGGGGTGGTAACAGTACTCACTTCAAAGAGCCACTGTGAGGATTAAACAAATTAAGGTGTGTTAAGGGAGTGGTCAAGAAGTGCTAACTGGCTCAACCACATCTGTTTGGGGCCCCTGGGGTTGTCTCAACCTTCTACTTTTCTGAGGAGTGTTCAGAGCACATCACAATATGCTATTTCCACTCCAGAGATGACAGACATAGAATCTCCAAACCCACCTTGGACATTCAGTACCAAGCAATGCTTAAACTTGGGAATGAACCACACAAATGTACCACTTTCCCTTCAAAGCATTCCTCCTCCCCAACTTCCCTATTATGGTGACTTGCTGTCACTTCAGGATCCTCCCCAAGTCCTGACCACAGTCTGGCTCTCCTTCCTCCTCAGTACCTCTCAACCCATCTTCCTTTCCTCCTTTTCCAGAGCCTGCCCAGGCTTATCACTGGGCACCTGTATGCTTCAGTCTTTCAACGAAGATTTACTGAGCTCTTATTATATGCTGGGCAACTGGGGATCTGAAAAACGGGACTGACAAAGTCCTCGAGGAGCTTGTCTGACAAAAAAAAAGACAAGAAACAAGTTAAATGTGTACAAATCTGAGCGCCTGGCTGGCTCAGTTGGTAGAACATGTGACTCTCAATCTCAGGGTCGTGAGTTCAAGCCTCATGTTGGGCATGGAGCCTACTTAAAAATAAACAAATAAATAAACGTGTATGTACAAGTTAAATATTACATATATTCTCTCAGTTCTCCATTTCTTTCTTTAAAAAAAAAAAAAGATTTATTTTAGAGAGAGGTGTATGCGCGTGCGCACATGCAGCGGGGAGGAGCAGAGGGACAAAGAAACTCAAACAGACTGTGCTGAGCATGGAGCCAGACTTGGGGCTTGATCCCACAACCCTGAGATCGTGACCTGAGCCGAAATCAAGAGTTGGATGCTTAACCGACTACGCCCCCCAGCAGGGCCCTCCCCCACCCAATTCTCCATTTCTAATAATGACAATTGCAAAAGATGGGGGTCTTTCTGTGCCTTCGACACTGTGATAGGTGTCTCATGGACTGTCCTGATCCTCTCGGCACTGGAAGATGTTACAGGTCACATTCTCCCCCCACTACAAACACTGAAGTTCAGAGGTCACCCTGTGCAGGTGGAAGTCGGATGCCTGCCCAGGTCCATGAAGTCCATGCTCCTCCCACTGCACTCCAATGTGGCCAATTCCCAGCAGCCAGAACTGTCTCATCGCATGCTTTACCACAACTGGACCTCACTTAGGCTTTTTGGCTGAAGGGTTATGACTAAGTACAAGAATTGTTTCTGGAGATCACTATGTCCTTACTTTAGACAAATTAGAACCAACTAGCTCTGCAAATTTCTCTTTAAGAGCCCAGAAAGTTGAGCCGATTTACTGACCCCAAAGTAGTGATGTGTTCCATTTCTGGGTTTGAAATGGAACTTTTCCCTTCAGCTCCCTATAGATGGCTTCTAAGTGTCTTACTGAACTCTGGACCTGAGTCTTGACTAGATTGATCATAATATCCTCTGTTCATTGCCTAGTGGAGAGGCTGACCAGGCTAATGTCAACTGTAACAAAACCCTATAGCAATTCCTGACTTTAACAGGATTTCCCGCTTTGGGCCTGTTCATCCTCCTCTGTAATGGAGCTGACCTCGTTTCTCATTACATCCTGGCTCAGGGGATATTGCTGTGGCTGGGCAAAGCTGCATGTGTACCGTGCCCCGCACACAACTCACTCACAGTCACTTTGTACAGGTGGTCAGGCTCTTCTCAAGGTGCCTCTCATTGGCACGGCTGACTGACAGGAATGCCTGCCCTTCTCCCCTCTCTCTCCCAAACTCTGCTGTTTCCTTGACAGCAGCTCTGACTGACTCTTCCTGGTTCAGCTGCCCTCCTCTTTACCATTGGCTTAACCTCCTTCAGCACTTCCAGAGTTCTAGAATCTTCTATTGGCCAACTCCTGGACTTGATAGTGCTTATTTGGACCTCTTGCTATGGGTGGATCCCTCTAATAGACTGGCTGCTCCTTAAATACCTTATCTTTTCCTTCTGTCCTCTCAGGCTCCCAATTCGAACATATGCCAGGCACTATGCTACATACCAGAGATGGTCATAAATCAGATCCAGTCTCTTCAGGCTTCCGTAGTACAGCAGGAAAAGCACACTGTGTCTTGAAAGCAACACTGGAAGCATGGTGTGTGCAAGGCTTTCAGGCAGCATATGGGCAGGGGAGAACTCTCAGTGAGATGGGGGAAGGGTCAGGGAAGGCTAACAGTGACGATGTCTGAGCTGGTTTTTCAAGGATGAAGAAGAGTCTGGTTGCACAGGCACATGGTAAGCGCTCCATAATGTCAGTCACAATGTGGACTGTACCTATTGTGTGGAAATAAGTATCTGCCTCCTCCTTAGCAAGCTTCTGCTATCCCCAACCCGCCCTCCTTTTTGCTGCTGCCGGCAAGACTGGCTGTGAATTTGGAGGTGCTGTGGGCTAGACAGAAGCACTGCGGGCCACCGAGTCCAGCGCCGCCATTACCAGCTGAGCCTCCTGGGGAAGTCCTTTAACATCTCGGGGCCTCTGTACCCAATCTCAGTACTTGCTGATCACAGCCCAGCCAACGCTCAGCTGTCTGCAATGCCTTCTCATCTCCTGGTGGCTTCCCTACCGCACCTGGGGGGTGGGGGCAAAGGGACCCTGGGCCACATGGCCTGCCAGCAGCAATCTTCCAGCTAGCAAGTGAGCACTGGAAGTCCATTGGTTGGAGGGCCCAGCCATCGAGGCCCAGGACCATCCCACCGAGGCCTCACAATTTCCACGACAGCTCTCATTTCCAACAGACGGCTGGACAGACTAGCAGTCTCCCCGCAGCTGGGGCCCCGGGCCAGCCAGCTGGCCCCTGCCCTCGTACCTCCTTTCCGGCCTGCTCTGTTGCCCAGGCTCGACTCTGTTTCCAGTCTTCATGGCCTCTTCTTGTGTGCACTGGTCAGCCTATGACCCCAGCACGTCTTGCTCCACACTCCTGAAAGGCCTCGCCCCCTCTCCCTTCCTCGGAGGGGAGACGCTGGGGCTCTGTCATGCCCCTGCCAGCACAGGGCCGTCCGCTCCAGCTCTCACCCCAGCCTGGCTGGGGAGACGCCTGTTCACTCCCGACACTCCAGAGGCCCTGCCCTGGAGGCACCTCCTGCCTCCCTCATAAGACAGTCCTGCTGCGAGGAGTAAGTGAAGGAGCTGCTCTGGGTGTAACAAAAACCCTGTAACATGGAAGGTGTTCTTTTTCTTCAAAGAGACGAGAATCCTTGCCAAATTGGGCCGGGAACTTCATGGCGGAGCTGCTCTTGACCCTCTGCCTAAGCTTAAAGTTTGGGTGGTTACCTGGCCCCTTCTCGGGTCCTAGAGAGGTTTTCGGTAAAACTACTACTACCTGAAGACACGAATCGAACACCAGCAGCTGCTACAGTGTTCACCAGCTGCCGGGCACCGGGCTACGCACGCGCAAGGTCTCATTCAATCCTCAACCCCATGAGGTGGGTACTACTATCATCCCCATTTTGTAGATGACAAAATTGAAGTTTAAATACCTTATCCAAGGACATGCAGCTGAGGAGGAGCAGAGCTGCATTTCTAACTACTAGATGCACCGTCTCCACATTGTTCCCCATAAACTCCTCCATTGACACCTACTACTTCATCTTCCAAAGTAGTACCTGATCCACTCACAGCTGGGGCAGGGGTACCCGATACCAGTAACGGGCTGAGCCAAGAGCTCTGTGCCCCTGTCTGGGAAGGACCAGAAAGCCTGGGGGAGTGGAAGCACAGGTTCCCAGAATGCTGGAATGCAGTCCCTCCCGAGTGAGGAATCAGCTGCTTCCCCCCACCCCCTCCTCGCCCTACCTGCCCCACCTCTGCCCCCAGCTCCCACCCTTGCCAGCACCTTCCTGCTCTCTGAGGACAATGTGGGACAGCTCCCACAGTCAGCGCCGCATGAGGTGGGTGGAAGGTGCCACCCCTGAGGGGATGCCTGCATCTGTTCCTGCTTCCCTGACACTTCTAATCTGAGGCAGCTCCCTCTGCCACTAGGGCCCCCACAACCTGACTTCCCAGGCCTCTTGGCCCCTCATTTCCTCCTCACAAGCTCATTCCAAATCTGTGGCAGGCTGATCCTCTCCTGGGGGAGCCCCCTCACCTGGTGTCATAGTTGTTGGAGTTCTTATCAAACTTGTAGGTGGGTGGGAAGAGCAGTGGGCCCTCCTGGAACTCCCGGAGCAGTGGATCGTGTCTCTTGGCAATGCTGAGCTGGAGAGAAAGCCACAGGCCCGTCTCCTAGCAGTCCTGACCCAGTGGCCCAGCACACGCTCCTCCATTCGAGGGATCAGCACATGCCATCGCCGCAGGTCAAGAGTCAAGCAACACCACCTTGCTTCCTCACTGCCCCAGTGACGGCCTCAGCGGCCCATCCCCACTCCACTCCCAGCCCCAGGGAAGCTGAATCCTTTTGCAAACATTATCCCATAGTCCCAGGGGAGGCAGCTGCCTGCCATTTCCCAGTCCTTGGACTACAGGGACCAGGCTTTGAATTCTGTCTCTCTGGGAGTCACCAGCAAACATGTATCAGAGGGGAGGTTGGGGTAGCCAGGGTCCCCCCAGAGGCCAAGCCTGGGGATGGAAAAGACAACAGGGATCCAGACAGCTGGTGCCCGGTGCAGGACCATGGCAAGCCGAAGCCCTTCTTGTTCCCTATCTTGACGCACACCCAGCAGCTCCTCCAGGGAAAGATCAGGCCCCTGGGTGCAAAGCCCTGTTAAACTCCTCCCCACCCAGGAACAAGGACTTCAGAGGCCTGGAAACGGAGAACAGGCGGCTAAGCGACCTGAGCAGTGCCCCCCACATTTGATGTTGGACTTCCACAATGGGCTCTAATCACCCCTCCGGACCCTTCCCTCACTTGATACCTGATCCTTCTCCCACAGATCACCGTAGCACCGATTTTTTATGGATTCCCGGACAAAATGCAGCCCAAAGTCATCGATCCGAAAGTTCATATCTCCAAACCAGAGAATGAGACTGCAGAGAGAAAAGAAGGCAGCCGCGGGTTGTGATGAGGTGAGAGAAGCCAGGAGCAACGGGCCCCAGGCCTGTACGCTCCTCCAGTGCAGAGCTCAGGTGGCAGGTGAGGTGCCAGAAGCTGGGAGAGGAGCCAGAGACGGTGATGACACGGCATGAGCCCTAATGAACTGTTCTCATGGCCGCTTCCCTGCCGTGTAAGCCAAAGAGACCACCCCCGGGGGCGAATAACAAACACAGAGCAGGCTCTTGCCCTCCCTCCCCCTCCCTCAACGGGCCACCAGGCATGGCTGAGAACCAGGTCCCTGTGGGTGACCTCAGGGACCCTGGGGTTCTCGATCTGGGATCTTCAGAAGTGTCCAGAATTCCTAAGCAGGACATGGGGGCCAGGGAAAGGGAAGAGGTCCTAGACCCCAGGCAGGTAAAGCTGGACAGGAGAGCAGATGGGGCGTCAGGGAAGAGGCTGGGAAGGGCTGGGGTGGAAGCCAGGCTGCCTGAGCAGAATGCTAGCCTGGGCTGGTGTGGGAGCGAGGACCGGGGCAGCAGTTGACAAGTGCATGCTCACTCATGCTCCAGGATGTTGGGGATATCTTGTCCCTCAAAATTTTGCATCTCCAGGATCCGGTCAAAGTGCTCCAGCCGCTGGTCATTGTTGGCCATGTGGGGGGGCAGGTGGCAGTTGATGATGCTGACATAGTAGCCATAAAGCTTCAGGCATATGGTGACGCCCCCTTTGTTCCCCTGGAAGGACAAGTAGGCAGAAGGGTGGGAAGTTGCTCTGAGTGAGACACACTTCCCCTTTCCCATCCCAAGCCTGAGGGGAGATGGTCTCGCCTGCCGCAAGACCTCCCAGGGCCAGACGCTCAGCTCCCTGGAGTGACCTCTCTCCATCTAAGAGCCCTGCTCACCTGGCCTGAGGTCTCAAGGGTGCTAAGCTTCCAGAGGCAGGAGAGTAGTAGGTATGCGGGGCCCGGCTTGGAAGACTCACGCCACCCCCCTTTTCCACCTGCTCACCCCTAAAGCGTCCAGCCCTCCCCAGCCCAGTGGCAGAAGGCCTCCCAGCTCATGACTCAGACAACTCATCCTTACCCAGTACCCGAAGACGCCAGTGGGGGTGGATTTAGTAGAGAGGATCTGGACAAAGGGCAAATGCTGATGCTTGGCAAAGAACAGCAAGAGGAGCCCCTGCATGCGGACACTGGAGACCTACAGCACAGGGGGGACAATGGTCATTCATTTCCCTGCACAGGCTGAGTAAGTCCCTCCCTAGGCCTGAGGTCGATGGTATCTCAGCTCCAGGCTCAGAGTTTTACTGCCCTGAACTGCCAAATGATGCATTCTGAGAGCTAAGCCAGGTCCAGTTCCTGTTCCTACTCAGGTGGAAGGCAAAGAAGACAAGGCTGCCAGAGCACCCTGCCATGAGGAGGGCATCGACTCTCCAGGCCCAGCACCATGCAGCCTAGCAACTCCTCTCACCCTGCTCTCTGGGTCCTTAGGGCACTCCGGGCTGCCACCCCCGTGGACCAGGGCCTCAGAGAGGGATGGCGCAATGTAGGATAGTGGCTAAAGGCAGTGGCTTTGAAGTTAGCCAGATCTGGGTTCAAATTCCACTTGGGCTCTTAGAATTTGCTATTGGGCCAAGTCTCAGTCTATTTGCTCATTGAAAAACCAGGACTCTATCTCATCTATCTCATGGATGCTGGAAGGATTAACTGGCAGCTATTCTTTCCTGGTTTAAGGATTTAAAAAAATTTCTTTAGTAATCTCTACAACCAATGTTGGGTTCAAACTCACAACCCCAAGATCAAGAGTCTAATGCTCTTCTGACTGAGCCATCCAGGCACTCCTTTTAAAAAGTAAATAAAATCTTTAAAAAAAAAAGGGGGGGGGGCGCCTGGGTGGCTCAGTCGTTAAGCGACTGCCTTCGGCTCAGGTCACGATCCTGGAGTCCCAGGATGGAGTCCCACATCGGGCTCCCTGCTCAGCAGGGAGTCTGTTTCTCCCTCTGACCCTCTCCCCTCTCGTGCTCTCTATCTTCCATTCTCTCTCTCTCAAATAAATAAAATCTTTAAAAAAATAAATAAATAAAGATTTTTAAAAAGTAAACGCAGGGAGGGGCACCTGGCTGGCTCAGAGCATGCGATTCTCGATCTCAGGGTCGTGAGTTAAAGCCCCACACTGGGCGTGAAGCCTACTTTAAAAAAAAAAAAAAAGGTAAATTCAGGGAAAGAACATGAGAGAGCCTTCTAGGGTGCTAGAAATATTCTGTACCTTGACTTGACTGGTGGTAACACTGATGCATATACAAATAAAAAGCCATAAAAAATACACCTAATTTCTGCATACATTATAATGTTCAGTGGAAAAAAATTAAGAAAATGTTCCCCCAAATAATTACACACTGTGGGTAGTTGGATTTCCATGAAGGCAATGCAGAGGCAATGAGAGCAAGCATGGTGGACATGTGTTTGCAGGTTGGGGAGAACAGCCACGGTCTACTAAAATCCTTCATACGGCATTTAATCTTCACGCCAACCTTGTAAGGAACTGCTGTCCCTGAAGGCTGAGGCTGAAGGAGACTGAGGAACCAGGAAGACTACTCGTATAACAATGTTTGAGGTCCGGGATCCCTAAAATCCCTGCTCTGTGAGGTGGGGTGGGAAAGGGCCATAGCCAGTGACCCTCTCTCTCAGCCTCAGGCTGTCTACACCTACCACCCGAGTAGCTGTTTCCGGAGCTTGAGGTTGCAGAGGCCAAGGAGGAAATCCCCGGGTGGGGTGTGTGTACTGGGGCCTTCCAGGAATTATGAAACTTGATCCCGCAGGCCAGGAGCTCTGGCACAGTGGAGGAGTCAAAGCAGGGGGAACCCCAAACCCAAGCCTGAGTGAGGAGGTGTGAGAACCTAGTGTTGGGTAGAGGTTGCTACAAATGTGTCTCCAACCCCACCCTCTAGCCCCAGTCTTGATCTCTCCCATTGACAAGCATATATGCCAATGGGACTGACGCCTAAGGAACTGATAAAGATCCAGAAGGACTTTCAAGCTTAATCCTAACCCACAGAGCAGGTCTGGACCACTGGAACCCCGCACAAAGGCACCAGTCCGCTTTGTGAAGGACCAAGGGAGGGGGATCGGGTGGCAGGAAAGCCTGGGACTGGGAGAAAGGGTGGGGCTGTGGGGAAAGGCGGGAGACTTGTAGGGGAAGTTCTGTTGGAGGAAGTGAAGTAGGAGGAGCTAAGGAAGGGGCTAAAGGGAGGGAGCTAGGGGCCCTGGAGCCAACAAAGGGAGTCAGGCCCAGGCTTCTCAACCTATAACTGGCAAACTCCCGTCAAAGGAAGAGGCTGCAAGCAGGGCTCACCCCTTCACCTCAGTTCTTCGCTAGGGGAAAGAGGGTCACCCATCTGCTTTGGGTGCTAGGCCCGGAGGCAGGCCTCCCAAATACGGGAGGCCACATGGGTAAAATGGGTAAATGGCAGGGTTGTGTCCCTGCCACAAGCTGAGCTAATTTCCTTGGCTTGATTCCATTCTACCAATCCCTTGCCAGTGAGCCGGGGTGTAAGGAAGCCTCCAGTCTTGGGAAGAGAGTGGGTGGTGAGAGAAGTGGTTCTGCCTTCTCAGAGGGTCTAGCTCCACATCTGGAGGAAGAGGCCCTGAGCTTCATCTGGATTGGGGACTGACCCTTCCCAAGGCTTGTATTCCCTCCTCCTGGCTCTGCCCTTGAGAGGACTCACAGCTCTTGCCTCAGCACCCTTAAGCAAACTGGGCTAAGAGAATTAATTCTGAAGAAATGAGTCACCCAGGAAGGGACTAGAGGAATTCTGGTATTTCCAAGAAGCACTGCACAGGGTGCTTTGAATGGGAGTATGCTTCATGCCTCAGCTGTGCAGGATGTAAAGGTGAGGACCCAGCAATCTAGAGCCTTCCTGTGGATTCTCCTACGGTCTGCTTTCCCCAAAGAATACTGGCCCTTCGGACTGAGAACTATTTTCCTCCCCTCGCCTAACCTCTGGGCCCCTGAGAATTTGAGGTACATGTCTCCTGTGATCAGAGGACACCCTTTGATACCAGCAGGCTAGCCATGGGATACCTGTCAGCCTCAGAGCTCACCAGCATAGCAATAAAGTATAATAGTTAAGAACATGGGTTATGGGGCGCCTGGATGGTTCAGTCGGTTAAGCATCTGCCTTCGGCTCAGGTCATGGTCCTGGGGTACTGGGATCGAGCCCTGCATTGGTGTCCTGTTCAGTGGGGAGTCTGCTTCTCCCTCTCCCTCTGCCCTTTCCCCTTGCTCATGCTCTTGCTCTGTCTCTCTCAAATGAATAAAAGGAAAATTTCTAAAAATAAGTAAATAAATAAATAAAATAAAAATAAATTCCATGCTAAATGCAATAAAGAAAGAAAAAAAAAAAGAACCTGGGTTATGAAATAAAATTTGAAAGATCTAGATTCAAATCCCAGACAGCCTGTGTGACCTTTCAGTCTTGGTTTTAACTGTAAAATACCCACATTTCAAGAGAGTTAAGAGTTCTCAATAACGCGTATCAAGAGCTTATTTGTAATGCTTACTCCCAAGTAAGCACTCAGTAAATGTTAGCAGTTATTATTATACTCAGGGATTTCAGGCTGGGCACGTGAGTAGGGATTGAAGGCTGACAGTGGATAGGCACCGAAGTGTTAGTAAGCCCTGCTGTGCTTCCCCCAGGATTCTCCCAACCTGAAAAATGTCAAGGTGTTAAACAAATCCCTGGGGTCCCAGCTCAGCTCCAGCTACATTGGAAAGACACAAGGCAGGCAGGAGCCCCAGGAAGCCAGGAGCAACTGAGGTTTGGGCCTTTAAATGAATGGAAACAGCATGAAAGTCTGAGTGGGAGACCAAAGGACTGGGGGTTAGTGACAAGAGGTGAGACACATTTCCCAACTGCCCGTGAACTTGTAAGTTACCTTGACGAAGCTCAGAGGGGAAAGCACATCCATGAAGAAACTGCTCCATGGGTCTTCAAAGGCAGTGTCAGAAAGGAGGCTCATGATCCCACAGTTCATTTCCTGCAAACTGCCCATTCCAGGTCAGAGGCTCTCTCCCTGGCCTGGAGGGTAGTGCCTCTGCCACAGACATTCAGTACTGCCCTCGGCACTTTCAAACCTTGGGTACTCATGACCATGATCTCTCCCTCCCATGGCCATTGACTGCCAACCCCTTGCCATTACTGACTCAGGACAAGAGACACTGACTGGTCCTGATGCAGGCTGAAAGCTTCTAGCTTTCAGACTCCACAGCAAGGAGGACAGGTGACAGCAGTACCCCATGGGGACAACTTTGGACTGGTCGGGCTTATCTATCTCAGAAATGGGAATGGGGGAAGGGGCACTGCAGACACCTACCCAATGACATACATGTCCAGATTCAGGTTGTCTTTGTTCAGCTGAAGAAGATCGCCGAGGTCTAGAGGAGGTGCTGCAGAGGCCACGTTCCACGTCACCACATGTATGCTGTGGAAGGGGTAGGAAGGGAAGTCGTGGAGGGATGGGGGTAGGACCTTATCCGGGTAACGAATGGGCCTGCTAATGGCTGCACCACAATCCAGTGCAACCATAATGGGAAACACGAGTTTCTGTACCTGGTAGTGGGAACAGGGGCTCTGAACTACAAGCCCTTCCTCCTCACTTTGTTCCTGAAGCACGAAATTTCCACCCAGTTTTGGCTCCTTCATGCAGGCCCACAGCTGCCCACAGCTGGTGGCACTGGTGCTGCTGACATTAGGAAAAGCTGCCAAGTGGGTGCAAAGGTTTCAGGGTCAAGTGAGGAAAGGAATGGGCATGGCGTCGGTAGTCAGGAATTTAAGAATTCCACCACACCTCAGGGCTCCTAAGGCCACCAGAAAGATTTTGGAGGTTCAGTTTTTACCTTGTAAGAGGACTCAGCACTATAAGACAGGAGAATTTCAAAAATAACAAAGATAACACCACCACATTCCCTTCCTTCCTTCTTCCTAGCAGGTCCCTGGAGCATAACCAATTCTGCCAAGCATTTCAGGGAGCCTAAAGGTGAAGATTCTAAATAATAGGGTTCTCAACATCTCTCTCAGGAGTCTACCCTCTTTTGGGGAAAGTCATCAGTTGGATAGCGTCCTCAACCTTGGCTTCATATAAACCCTATGGAAGCAACAGAACTAGATCAGCAGCTCTCAATCACAATGGATCCCATCAGAGGCTCAGGGGAAGGAGACACTTGCAGATCTCTTTCACTGAGTAGTGTTACAGCAACACTCCAAGAAAGCCCCAGACTCAGCTGAGTACAGAGCAATCAGGGGCTACAAAACCTGCAGAGACCAAGGTCCAGCCACCAAGCCTTAGGTACACCATGAGGAGGAGGACCTCCAGCAGAGGAAAACTTAGAATGGGCAAGGGTACAGGAGGTTGAGAGAGATGGGAGAAAAGAGCAGGATGTCCAAAATCATCTCTTCTCCACCAGATCCTGTTCTTAGAGGTCCATGTTCTAAAAAGCACAACTTGAAATTCTTGGCCGGCTTAAAACAACTTCCTGCCCCTCCCTACGAACATCAACAAAACAAAACAAAACACAAACCACCTTCCCAGGCATGCGGCCAGAGATTCTGCACTTTGTTTGTTTACGATCTCCCCCTGCTGTCCAACAGAGGATTAAGGAAAGCTGCCCTTTCAGTCCAAGGCTCTTTGCTTTCCCAGGGACCTACTCTAAGTGGATGGAGAGCAAAAGTCGGAATTTCTTGCCCTCACTCTCAGATCCGACGATTAGCAGCAAATCCTTGCATCGTGACCTGCACTAAGTTGGTGATCAGCTTTGTTCGTTAAAGAGCAAGCATGGTACCAGGCTATATCACTGCACTAACGGATCTTACTTAAACCTGATTTCGGATTTCGGGAGGTCACAACGGGATCAGGCAGACCCCGTGATGTATGTGCTGATCAAAAGAACAAGATTTCTATTCTAGAGCTGAAAGGAGAATGCCTTGTTCTGCTTTTAACTTCAAACAGCCCAACACCGCTGTCTCCGCCAGAAGACAACCGAGACACCTGCATGGGGCGCCCAAATGGGAACGAGCTCGGCGGCCTGAGTTTGGAGGGAGTGTGGGGCTTGGCCCCAAAACAGCCCCCTCGCCATTGGCTTGGGAGAACTGGGTAGGGTCTCTGAGCTAGAACCAGCCCTGCAAGCCTAGCCCCTTCTCTCCCAGGCTGGCGGTACTACAGATCCGCAGCCCCGAAAGGGTAGGAGATGGTGATCCCGCCCGGAACAGGCCGGCTTGCCCGCAACCGCCTTCCTCACCTGAGCGTCTTGCCTCTCGGTTCAGTCGGCTTCCGTGGGTTCACGGCTGCCATCGTCCCCACGCCGCTGCCCGGCCGGCTCGCGCCTCCCCGCCCCCGCCGCTCCTGGCCCAATCCACCTCCGGCAGCAGGTCCCGGCTAGCTTACTCTCGCTCGATTGTTTTCCTTCCGGATTCTGACCCTCCGCCTCGGCTTCCGTAAGAGGCGGGGCTTGAGGGCACGGAGGGCTCTGGGTGGTGCGGCCTGGGGGAGGAGGCGTGACTCTCCACCGAGCGCGGAACGGTGAAAGGCTGGGAGGAAAAGAGGCGCGTCTCCGCGCCAGCAGAACCCGACGCAACACTGCCCCGCCCGGCGCGCACATCTGGCAGCCCCGCGGCTCCCAGGGTGCCCCGCGCGAGGCCGGCCGGGAGGGGCAGTGTTCCGGCGGAAGCCGCAGCCCGGCCCGCACCAGCGTCCTGGGCCCGGCCCGTTTGGCCAGTTGTCGGAGTTGAGGTCTCTGGCCTCTGCGCTGTGCCCCTCCACCTCCCCAACGTCCACAGGTCCAAAGGGCGAAGGGGGGGAGTGGCAGTCCAGCCACTGTCCTGCCTGTGAAGCAGTCTCTTTGCCCCTCATCTACAGGTAATCGCTCTCGTGTTGGGCATAGAGCTCCTCCATCCTTAGTTCTCCACTTCCACTGTCAAGTGTGTCCCGCTTTTCACACTCATTAGGTTACCTATTACACATCAGACGTTGGGGGTGCCTGGACTCTTAGAAAATTAGCCACCAAAGAATGAAAAATAAATGCTTCTATCTGATGAATAGAAATGAAGATTTTTGCCAAAGATTAAGATTTTCTTCAAATAACTGGTTCTTAATCGTTTTTGGAGGATAGGGAGGGCGGTGCATGGGATTCCTTTGGGGATCTGACGAGAGCCATGACTCTCCGCAGAAAAATGCACACACAATTTTACAAACAAGTTTTATGAGTTCCACAGACCTGGAAGCCAGGTTAAGAACTCCTACTTTAAATAAACGTTTTGCTTGGTAGGATAGTAAAAAAGAGGGAGGGGGGACAAAAGCAAAAAGGAAATTCTGCCAGTAGAAAATGGCCAAATTACTTTCAGATATGTGATGTCTGCATAAGTAAAATGACAAGGGGATGTTTTAATTTACAGAAATCGACCTGCAAAAAATTTTGGAGCTATCTTGTACTTTTTCCTAGTCCTGGTAAAATAGAGGACAGCAGCAAGAGTTTGAGGATATCTAAGTTGTAAAATGGACATAAGGACATCACCAATAAGCTGGACTCCGGAGAGCTCTGTCTAGGATTTTATTAGACTGCTTTTTTCCCCCAATATACCTGTTTTGGAAGATTGAGACAAAAAGGCACAAACTCACATTAAATAAACAAGGTAATCTAATCAGTTCTACAAAGTGTATTTTGTAAAAGAAGTAGCACTAGGAACCAACCAAAATAAGTCAGGGAGTCCCAGCAGGGACTGTAAGAGAACTTGGGGAGATATACACATGCCCACGATACTGACCCTGTCCCTGACCTCTCTCTGTGAGGCCAGAGCCCAGCACCGCCCCCTTACAGAGGCAGTGCTGCTTCAAACCGCGACTCCGACCCTGGAAATCTGATGGAAGCAGCTGGTCTGAAGGGGCACGGCACACCCTCAGGTATTACCCCCGGAGCTGAGCCTTTCATCATAAACCCCTCTGAGTGCTAGTCAGTGCCAGTCAGGAGGTGGGTGAGAAGGTAAAGGGGATACTTAAAAGCCAACGCTGTTGCCCAGCAGCAATGCTATCCGTGGGGATAGAATAGACCAGGGACACCCCTCCTTATGCTTCTGTGGGCTGGAGCCCCAGATCCAGCTGACATCAGGAAATCCTAGCTCAGCTCATGTGGATGCTTTCAAACTGGGGCAACAGGTGGAGATGGGAGGAGCCAGAGAAAAGCCAGATAAAGAGCAAGGCCCACCAGAGTTGGAGTGGTATGTGTGGATCTAAGAGAAGAGCTGAGGCAAGGAAACTAACATCTGATGACCCTCAATCCACCTAACTGTCTGCTTAGAACATCATGGTTCATTTCTCCCAGGTAACCCACACCTGGATTTAGCTGATGAATGAAGGGAAAACTTTAAGCACAAATATAATTATAGCTAATACAGAGCTTATAGGAAAACACTTACATTTTTCTCCAGTAGGAATGCTTCACTTTCCCAAATAGATGCTACCAGCAGTTGGGAATCCTAATAACCAACTGAACTGCCCCAGATCCACTACTATAGACCCCACAAGGTGAGGAGCATGCAAGGATGGTGTAACAGGACATTTCCTGGTCCCACAGAGGCCTCAGTTGGAGGTGGGAGACAACCACACTGAGGGGTCTGAGTCTGTCCGCTGTTGCCCCAAGAGGGTCACAGAGAAGCAGCCATCAGGATGTCACAGGTGCAATCCTGTGAAACACTCCCTTATTGCACTTAGAAATCAGTAAGGCAAAACAAACTGACGACAACGTAAGGATAAATGATCCCACCCTACTACTCGCTCTCCCAACACAGATTTGGTCTCTTAATCAGCCACTGCTCCCAGACTAACATGGGCTTGGATCACAACACACTTGTCTAACATACTTCACGAGGCTTGGGAAATGTCAGGTGACACCACAGCTATCTCAAACTCTCCCGCTGGGAAGGCATACTTGGTTTCCGCCAAGTTGTATACAACCATGGAGCACTCGGCAGCTTCTACCTCCCCCGGAGTCTGGACTTTTTCACCGGCCTCCTTTGGTAGGTAGAGTTCTATCCTACGATCACTACTTGCTTTTTGCTTCTGATTGTCCAGGACAGAACTCAGCATGGGGGCGGGATGAGCTGAGTTCCTGATTCCCAAATTCCTTTCCAGCAACTGGAGACAAGAGGGAACATGTTCTGCTGGGGAAAAGCTTTTTGCATGCTCGTTTTGTGCAGCATGAAAAGATCAGGACCCTTGTGTCCTGACCAGCCTCAGAGACAGAGGACAGGAATCTAAGAAAGCATAGAGAAAAGAGGATTATTGCTGAGTGGCAGCACCAGCCCAAAAGGGAAGCGGAGCATGGACATATAGAGCTCCTGGGGGGCGGGGAGGGGGGATTGGGGGACAGAGTAATTAGTACATATGGGGCCAACTCAATTCTACGGGGACACTGGACAGGTCCCTCCAGGTGGAGAACTGACCCGGGCATACTGTGGGCTCTGCAAGGTTCAGGCAGGGTGGGCAACAGGAGGGCCAAGAAGCCACAGGTGTCTCAAAGACTAGTGACCAGAGATGCGATCCTGGGGCAGGGGTTATCTGTATTTGTTACATTTTTAAAACAGAGACTGGCTGGGCCCTGGGTACTTCCTTGGTGCCTACAGCACATTAACAATGGGTTACTGAGAGCAGAGATCAGAGTTATGAAGCCACACTGCTGTTCCGTGGAACTGGAGGAAAAAACTGTATTTCTAACTCATCTCTCCCCAGGTGAGCCCTCAAAATTGCAAAGATCTGCCCAGGAAGCAAAAATACCTCAGTTTATCCCAAGGTTGAAAACAAACGAACTTAAATCATTTAAATCACCATATCACAAAAGGCAGCTATTTTGAAAGACTAAAAATGTCACTTGGAAATAAAGGGCCGGAGGGGAGGGCGGGGGGGAGGAACACACAGAAATGGGTTGAGAACAAAATGGTTGGAGAGGGAGGAGCTGTGAATACAGCAACCTACACGCCATATATCTCAGAGGAGCAGGCTCCCGCACATACGGGCTTCATAATACCAGACGGTCTATTTGTTCACAATATTAAAAGGGCATCTAGAAGTAGCTACAGTAAGGGATCGAAAGTTGCCTGAAGAATGGGCACAGAAAGGCTGCGTCCGAAGATGGCCTGTCACTTGGGAAGGTGGAGCTGCTGGGCCTTCCTGTTGACCACTGTCTTGCAAAACTAGAAGAGAAATACAATTATTAAGGAAGCAACAGAGGAAAATAGAAACACACTGCGAATCATTGATGGTGGAATTTCAAAAGGAGCCAAGATGCCAGTAGGGGGTGGGGGGAGGAAACGATGGTCCAAGCAGCCGACACTGCAACCGTCCACTCAGTCCTACTGTTTTATCTGCCGGAAGTTCTCAAGCACAAGGGGCAGGGAGAGCAAGCAGAGCTTTGCATTACTGCTGGTGAGACCCCAGGCCTCCTCAGCTCCTTAGTGTTAGAGGACAACCAGAGTTTACTTGATAAAATAATTTCCTCTCAGAGCCCAATGGGGAGCAGGGCCAGGTTTTTAATTCCATGACCAAGCCCACTGAGAGCTGCTGGAGTATCAGCAAGTCTGGAGGTATGCAGGGTCCTGGGAAGGACGGGGCTTGGGAAAGAGCAGCATCGTGAAACAGGAACACCTCATCCTGCTCCTATGACCTGGGCGGAAATACTCTCCAAGCATCTGAAAGAGGCTGCCTCTGATGAGGACAACTACTTAGTATAGGATCAGAGGCTTTAAAGGGGAAGGAAATGAAGCACCAGATAAACGATGAACCCGAGGAAAAGCTGTCTGGCCAGCGTTTTCCAAGGGCAGGGCAGGGCATGCCAGCAGTGGGGAGCCAGGAACTAGCTTTGGCACAGGGGTACCAGGGGCACCCCTGAATGCCAGCTTCAACTTGAAATGGCTCTAGTTATGAGGGGAGGAGGATTTAGTTGCAGATAAGCTTCAGTTCTGTGTCTACCGCCCCAACGCAGCCCCACTTCTCACTATTGGGTGGGTCCATATGTCTGTCTGGGCGGTTCATTGTAAGATCACATGTCCCTGAATTGGTCTAATAGTCACAACATCTGTCAATGGAAGCCTGAGAGCTGTTTAGCATGGCAGTCATCAGGATCACTGGAGGACAGGACGAGGAATGAAGCAAGTTTCCTGACCCCACAGTGAGCTGCTGAGGCCCGAAGGACCCAAACTGATTTTCACGTTGATGAGATGCAAAGGGAGAGATTCAGTACATACAGTGCAGAAGGGGGAGGGGTGCCTTTAGTCATCTGCGGTCATTCCTTTCACTGGGTCCTTTTGTCTCATCTGGAACAGAAAAAAACAGGAAAAACTGAAGGCTCTTGCTGCTGATGGAACTCCAACACAAATACATTCCGCCTTCTCTTCAGTCCTGCCAATGAAGAGGGTGGAGCATTTTTT